AAGTATAAGTCCTATGACACCTTGAATCAGATTTTCTTACCTAAACACGTCTAGGAAATTTATTTTGCACATCAATCCTTGCTTTAGGTGTCCTTCTTGAGTTTGCGGAATTTGGTGGATTCATGAGCATACCTCTCTTCAAAGCATTCAAATACTTATAGCATCTTGGTCTTATATGGCCAGCTAAACTGCAGTAATGACATATGGGAACAAATCGTTTATGTCGAGGGGGTAAAATAATAACCTTCTTACTGAGGGTTGTCTGAGGTTCAGGAGCAGGTGTCTCCTTCACAAATACTGTCTTGGACATTGAACATTCACCGGTGTAGCCAAGTCCATGACGATCTTGCTTTTCCTATAGAGAGAATATGATCCAATTTGGTGGTGCCGGAATTCATCATCTTCAAATTTTTCTGAGTGCTCTCCAGTTCAGCCCTTGTGTCCTGCAGCTTTTTCTCATTTTCAGTAGCTTGAAATTCATAGTTAATGACAGCCCTCTTAAGCACATCCTTCTCTTTAACAAGCTCATCAACTCACTCCCGTAGAGACTTATTCATTTCACACACTTTAACCCATTTGTTGAACATGGTCTTATAGGATTCTTGTATGGCATCAATAGTCAACTCCTCACCATCACTATTACTTTTAGAATCTGAAAAATCTCCTCCGTTTTCACTGTTCACATAATCTGTTACAGGCAGTGTTGCAACACTGTCTGCGACACCTTTTGTAACACTGTCTGCAGAAACACTTTGATCAGTACAAACATTGAAAGCAACATAGTTACTCACATGGTCTTCGTCCTCCTAACTGCCTTCAGAGTCTTCATCACTCCATGTTGCATTAAATGACTTCTTCTTCTTCTTGAGGGTGTTGACACACTCGGATTGAATGTGGCCGTAACCGTCGCATTCCTGGCATTGAATACCCCTATTTTTTGTCTTCATCTCTGTGTTATTTACTGCAGCTTTATTCTTTTGAAAGTTGCTGGAATTGCCATTTCTTGAATTCTCATTCTTCCTATTGACCTTCTTCATCACCTTGTTGAATTTTTTCGACAACTTTGTCATGGACTGGGCCAAATCTTCTACATCATCATAATCAACTTCGGCTTGAAAAGTAATACTTTTCTCCTTCTTTCCTTCCTTGTTTTCATCCAAATTCATCTCAAAAGTGATTGAAACCTGTATTTACGTGGAAATTAATGATCTGCAAGCTCAAGTTTTGGTGTAATTAATCATGGAACCCAATTTGGAAGATTTACCGATCAAAATCGAAATTAATCAGATTGCATGGCAGACAACCAGGGATGCAACTTTAGAAGATTTTTTCTTTTTAAGAAGATTATAGTGAAGAATCTACCTGTTAGGTCTGTTTTTATCTTGGTGTTACAAGTGGTGTTGCAACACTTTACTGTAACACAGTTTTTAATAGTAAATCTGAAATTAAACCAGCAAGGCAAAATGCAGGAAAATAATGCAGGAATGTAAAGAACACCAGAAAAATGATACCGCAGTTCGGTGTACACACTTACTCTGCGGGGCCACTGTTAGGAATAGTGTCCTAGAAGCATGAGATGTAATAGGATATTTATTATTTATTTAATAAAAGAGTTTATTCATTATTTTATGTACATATATTTATGAATATTTTATGAATATCAATGAAAATTCCATGATTATTTATGTAACCTTAAACATTGTATATAAGTGTTATATACGAGAGGATAATGTTTAAGGATAATAATCAAAAA